GCCGCCCGCACACGTCCCGCACACCGAATTCGGCACACCCCTCACACGTTTCGTGGCCCCACAGGGAGTTGCACCGAAGACCCCAGTGCCGCCGCCCGCATGCGTCCCGCATACCCAATTCGGCCACCGAAAACTCCAGTGCCGCCGCCCGCATACGTCCCGCACACCGAATTCGGCACACCCCTCACACGTTTCGTGGCCCCACAGGGAGTTGCACCGAAGACCCCAGTGCCGCCGCCCGCATGCGTCCCACACACCCAATTCGGCACACCCCTCACACGTTTCGTGGCCCCATAGGGAGCTGGTGGTCCCGACAGCTTTCCTCAGGGCCGATTTTTTCGTCGTCGTCGTCCGTCGTCGACGTCCGACCTGCGCGCGTCGTGGGGGCTCCGCGTAGCGCGGCGCCCGCAGCCTTGAACTTTAGCCTTGAACTTTGGAGTGCGCGGGCAAAGAGGAAGGAGAAAAAGGGGAGGAAGCGGGCGCGATCCTCGTGTGGGGCGTGCCGACATGGGCGTCGCGGCGCGCGGGCGCTGCCGTCGGGGTTCCCAGGAAAACTCTTGAGGAGGCTACGCTCAGTGCCACGAGTTCTCAGAGTCAGGCAGACCCAAACCATTCACAGTCGTATGCATTCACATTAGGCGATTCCATTCTCGCAGTCATGCAAATATAACCAATCGCACGCAAATTCATTCAGAATCAGACTCACTCGCGCTTATACTCGCCCGCGCTCAAGCTTTCATGCTCAAACCTATCGTTTTCGTTCATGTTGTGTACCCTATCACACAATTCGGCACACCCCTCATACGGTTCGTGACCCCATAGGGAGCGCCACCGAATTATATATATATATATATATTCACAATTGCGGTATTCACAACTGCGTATGGTTGGGTCCTTCGCCGGGCTATTTTTTAAGTCTGGGCGATAACGCTCATGGTCGCCCCCGCTCCCCCCCCGATCACGTCACCACGCTGTTCCCCCCACATGTCTCAAGGAATCTTCCAGGCTTTCCAGAGAATCTCAAGGGTTCCCCGCCGCAGCCACTGCCGCCGTCGGGAGGCCGAAACCCGCCGTGATGTGATCGGGGGTCCCCCCCTTCGATCACGCCGGTTATCGCTGATAATGCAAAAACAGGCTCCTGGGCTGTGTACCCCCGTCGCAGTTTTTTTGCGATGCGTGGGCTTGAGCCCCATGCCCACTTTGGAGTGTTTTCGCCTTCGTGTCATGAGCCGTGAGAGCGACGAAGCACTGAACCATCGCAGCTCCCTGCAGCAGCGTTTGCGACGTCAGAGTTCGTACGCATTTGCGAATGCGTGCTCCAAACAGTCATGATGTTTGGTTCGCTGTTGATACTCATTTTGCCAGGCGTTCCGCTGCACGCGCGAAGCGGGCCGAATCATTGCCTGTGTGCATGCGTAGACAGAGCCATGGTGTAGTGGATGTTCATTCGCTCAAGTATACGAATTCGCTTGCGATTGCTAGGGCATAATCAGGCAGTGTCCTTTCTTGTGTGAAGGCTAGAGACCGGAAGGGATAACTGCTCTTGGGGCGTTTCCGTACTGTGGGAATGTTGGTTGTATGGATTCGATTAGTTTGCCATTCCGTCTTTGGTTTGAACACAGTATTTGGAGGATTGTGTATTTGTTGTGGTATGGGTCGCCATTATCGTATTAGGTGTTTCTGTCGGTTATTGCTTCATCCCACTTGCTGATGTCGCGCATGTTCTCTTGTCACTCCCCCTCCTCTTCTGTGCACATGCCTACTCTGGTTCAGGCGACCCAGCGGGGGGACACCTGCCGCGTCTTCTTCCACCCTAGCAAGAGCAGGCGGCATCTCTGCTATCCTGGTGACAGTCGCGGCCGCTAGTCATTGAAGTCTATGATGCGGCATGTCGTGTCAACTTGTCGGCAGTCACACGCTGAGTGCCATGTTGCCATCTCTGTTGTGTCAGCTCTTGTCTGCTTTTCTGAAACGCGGATGTGGCGTGTGGTGTTGATGGCAGGAGTGTTAGAGAGTCACGAGCACGATGATCGGGATATGCGGAGCATTCCCAGTGGTTAGCACTCCTCTTGCTTGCTCGACTCGCCCCAATGGTTTTACCGAGGCAGTCCAATGACAGCCGCGTCTCCAGTTCCAAGACCTCCAGGGACTATCATCCCGCTGCAGGAGAGACGCTGGCTTCGGGGAAGAAAGGACGGAGATACAAGGACATACCCCGAGATCCGGCACCGCGGAAACATACAACACCGTGAGAAATAACATTTGGAGCCTTACACGTCGTTTTCCTGAGGCACTTATCGAGCCGGATCCAGTCGCGATGGCCCTGGGGCCCGAATCCCGACGAAGACGCCCAGAGTGAAAGAATAGCGGTGCCATGATCTGAAGGGGTATACCGCATGCCTCACGCACGAGAAGCGAGAGTTTCGGGCATCGAGCCTGGAGTTACATGTACGAGGCGGATGATAAAGTGGGAGGGGAGCAAGGGGTGAGGCGGGAAAGGAGGAGTTGCAGCAGCAGGCGGGGAACACTTGGGGGAGGATGGCGGGGAAAATCAGGAGGAGGAGGAGGAGGAGGAGGAGGAGGAGGAGGAGGAGGAGGAGGAGGAGGAGGAGGAGGAGGAGGAGGGGGCATCTTGGGAGCCTTCGGGGGCACTCTTGGGACCTCCTGGGAGCTTCCTGGGAGCATCTGAGAGCCATTTTGGGGGCCTCCTTGGGCCTCTTGGGGGCCTTTGGGGGCTCCTGGGGGCTTTTTTGGTTGTTTTAGGGCATTCCTGGCCCGTCGGACGCCGTCTTGGGGACCTCTCTGGGCCGACTTGACGCCCGAGCTCGAGCAGAAGAGAAGATAGATGTGACAATTATTCAAGAGATCAGTACCAGTGGAACTGGAACAACAGAGACACTTGGGATGATTCTCAAGAATGGAGGAGTGAATGGCTGAGGTGATGCAATACAAAAGGACCAGTACGACTTCGTCGGTGCCGGTCCACAGTTCATCATGAAGCGGGTGCACCAGGTGTGCACAGGCATTGAGGCCTGAACTGGGAAATATTAGCTCAGGCGGGGTACGTCGGGTTACTTCGGTTTTCCGCCCCCTGGCAACCACCGCTGAGCGGTAAGATGCTCTTGGGGGTCGTTCCGGTGGCTGTGCATATGTACACGCCAGGTGGGTTGGGGGTCGGGGCGACTCTACGGACCCCGCCGCGGGGGGAGTCAATACACCCCTTCCGCACCACCATCCGCTTGCCCATCCTGCTCTCTAGCCTTGCATGCACTGTCTGCTGCGCTGACTGCTTCTCTCCTGCAGCTACACTTTGGCTCTAGGGAAGCGAAACAAAAGCGAGCCTGCGGCGCGCGCGTGCGTCGGCCGGCGGGCCGGCCTCCTCCCTTCAGTGTGTTACCCTAGTGTATGCTTGACGGCATTACCCCTTTTTCGCCATGTCATCGGCGAAGCCCATTGACCATAATAAATCAACGGAACATCTTGCAGGGATTATGAATATCCAGGCAAGAGACTGTCTGAGGGAGGTCCGAGCGTCGCGGAAAAGGAGGCTGCTATCTTCGGAGGCCCTGGAGCGGTGCGCTGACCCTGTCCCTGACTATGGGTTGGAATTCCCCAAGGCCCTCGACATGTATCGCGTGGCCCAGTTTCACGGCTTTGGTGGCCCCCGAGGGGCGGTTATGTTTTGCCGCGAAGAGAGGGCCCTTGAAGGTGGGGCGCGACTCTTGGCTGTAGGGAGTGGTGGGCCTGAATGCCCAGATTACTAATCAGTCGGGTCGCAGGATGTGAGAGACACAGGTCTAAGGCCCTAGCGCCCTAACGCCCACCTCCTCTTCTTCCTCCTCCTTTTCCTCCTCCTCCTCCTCCTCCTCCTCCTCCTCCTCCTCCTCCTCGGGTCTCCTACCGCCCTGGGGGAAACCGTGCAGACGTGCGTTGCCCAAGAGCTTTCTCCGACTCCGTTGGGCGGCATCGGGAAGCCTGCTCGCCACGAACGGTCGGCCCGTGGGTGTCGACCCGGGTCCGACGCGTCTGGCGTGGCTGCGGCGCGGAGTTGGCGGCGCCACGGGAATAGGAGTAGGAGGAGGAGGAGGAGGAGGAGGAGGAGGAGGAGGAGGAGGAGGAGGAGAAGGAGGAGGAGAAAAAAAAAGAGGGGGGAGGAGGGGGAGGAGCAGGAGGAGGAGGCGGAGGAGGAGGAGGACCGAGGAAGAGGACCGAGGAGGAGGACCGAGGAGGAGGCGCGGAGTTGGCGGACAAGGCCCACAGAAGGTGCAGCGCAGCTTTGTCCTCATCCCTTCCCAGACCCCTTCGCGCTGTGAAAAACAATCACCACTGGAGGGTTTGTTTTCACAACTTTCGGCCTCCGGGGGCCCTTCCTGGGCCTCGGGGCCGTCAGAACACGACACGGGATGGAAAACCGGTCCCGGGGGTCGACGCCGTGATCGTTTTTAATTCATTGTTTTGCCGATCGGCGCGGGTCCCCAACCCCCCCTACCCCCCCCCTGGAGTAGATTTCGGTTGTCTTTCAGCGCATGTTTCGTGCGGGTGGAGTCTCCCCAGAGGCAGCACTCTTGCAAAAAGTCGCATTGAGCAGGGGTCCAGAGCCAAACCTCCTTCTCCCCCCCTTTTCCGCCCAATGTCGAAACGCCGAATAGGTAAACGCTCACGTTGCGGAAAAAACACGACGTCGTGTCGGCGTGGCTTCGTCGCGGAGTTGGCGGCGCCGCGGGAGGAGGAGGAGGAGGAGGAGGAGGAGGAGGAGGAGGAGGAGGAGGAGGAGGAGAAGGAGAAGGAGGAGGCGGAGGAGGAGGCGGAGGAGGAGGAAGAAAAGGAGGAGGACTAGGGATGACACGCCGGTCCCGGGGGTTGACGTTGCGAAAAAAACACGACGTCGGGTCCAGACCTGAGGGGGTCGACGTTGTGAACAACTCTCGACGTCGGGGGTCGGGGGTTGGGGACCCTCCCGGCTTTCGCGAGCCCCCCTCTCCGCCTGGCGTGTGCTGCAGGAGCGCCAGAGCCGGTTGCGCGAGGAGTGCGAGAAGAAAGTTGGAAAGGAGGTCTTCCACAAGGCGGCTGGACACTGGTCCGCGGCGGGGATTTATCTATAACCAGCGCCTGAGGATTCGACCTCCACAAGCGGTGGACTTGTATAGATTCGGCCCCCCAGGGGCCGGATGTATCCATATCCGCCGCCCGCTGAGGCACCAGGACGTCGGTTCCCAGGCGGTGGATATGGACAACTTCCCGCCTAGCAAGCGGAGGGTCGGAGGAGCTGAGCCCGACGGGGGAGCGCCCTGTTTCTGCAACCGCCGCTCCTGAGGGCGTGCATCTTCTGCTGCCCCCCTCTTCCCTCACCGGCCTCTCTGGTGCTGTGCATCAGCCGTGCCTTCTGCTGCGGCCCCTGGGCTTCGTCCCTGGGCCGCGCACCAGGATCTGACCCGAGTTCCTCTTCATGTCCTCGCTCCGCGGCCGCCTCTCCCCCTCTCGACCACTGGAGCAACGTGTGTTGGGCGCAGTTGGCTGCCGCGCGGCCCGCCGTGGCCCCGTCCGCGCCGAGCCCCGCGGCGCTGCGACCCGGCAAGAATTCCTGCCACGATCCGGGGGGAAGACAGCTCACGAAAATTGTCACCGGTGCCACGGTCTGCAGGCTGGCACAGGTCTGCATTGCTCGGCGTCAGACCTTGACGTCCACCGACGTGTTTTTGAAATGCGCGGCCCCAGAGCTCCCGAGCCCTTCCCCGGGGGTTGTTTGTCGCCCTTGGTCCATCTCCGTTTTTGGTGGCCCAGGGTTCCTATCATTGGCCCTTGAGGCCAGATTTTAACAAAACGCCCGGATTGAAACAACATGTCGTCGGAGTTCTGGAGAGTTTGCATGTTGATCTTCCTTGTGTAACCATATTCTTTACCAACAGCTTTGGCGGGTCTGTCTACCGACCCCGGAACCATGGCCGCAGAGGCCCAATGCTGGCGCCCGGGTTGTTCTTTCTTGAAGTTCTTCTTCACAAGCCCGGAGAGACGAGGGCTTTCTCTGCTCACCCATGGCTCGAGGAACCGCAGAGACATAGTAAGGCGTGTGGATTAGCGACGGAGTCCGCTCCCATGTGGAAATCAACGAGCATTGGCCTCACCCACACCAGTGTGCCACCAGATCGACGGATCTCTATAGAGTGAGTCAGAATGGCAGTCTTCTCATCGGGACGCCTGTTTTGAGTATCGAAGAATCGTCGAACTTTTGACAGGTCCGCGCGGACCTCACCGGCGCTGGGCCCCCCTCGGCGGCACCTCTGGCTCCGTACCGAGCGCGCCACGGAAGGGGCGTCCAGCGCCGATCCAAGAAATCCTCGCGGACCTCCGAAAGTTTGTTGCAGTCTCCTCATCGCGACACATCTTGATTTCTGGCTTTGACCAGGGCGTGGACTTCTGACCATGGCTTCCCGGACCATCTTCGCGATATTGAATTGTCTGCCTCCTGGAGCTGTCGCCTTCCGATGCAGGTTGCAGGAGGGCCAAGACGAACCTTAGATTTGGAGGGTTACGCTCGTGTTCATAATGATTGTGCTCTCCACTGTGGAACGTTTTTCGTTTAGGGTTTCTCCGTGGGGCATTCGACGAAGGGTTTCATGTTTGAGAGAGAGAGAGAGAGAGAGAGAGAGAAAAAAAAAAAAAAAAAAAAAAAGAAGAAAGAGCGAGAGAGAGGGAGCGCGTTCCAAATTTAAGTCGGGCATGTTCTTCTACAGGCTTCAGGAAAAATAGTCCAACATAGTCTGGTGACGATTTTTCATCTCCTTCGTATCCGTAAGGGCTTCGCCGCCGGCCGCCAGCCCCTCCTCTATCATAAATCAGAGTCGCGTCGGTGCGTCTCGGTGCATCTCGGGGCGGATAGGAATCATCAGCGCATATTGAGACGTTGGCATTGTCGAAGACGCTTACGGCGAATCACCGCCGCTCCCTGCCTTCTTGGAAGCGCCTGCGTGGCCGAAAGTTGGGTTTGAGCTTGGCCAAGCTATCGGGCCACGCGTTCCCCGAGTGGGTTCGAAAGCCTTCGGGGAACACGGAATCGGCTGAGCTATCGGACCAGGTGGTTTCCGAGTTTTCGGGCCTCCTGGAGGACGTCTTGGAGGGATCTTGGGCCGTCTTGGAGGCCTCTGGCGGGCCTTTTGGGCAGTCTAAGGCCATCTTCAGGCCATCTGGGGCCGTTTGGGGGGCATCATGGTGCCATCTTCGCCGTCTTGGAGGCCTTCTTGGCCGTCTTGGAGGCATCTTGGAGGCCATCTTGACAGTCTTGGAGGCCATCTTGGGCGTCTTGAGGGCCTCTTGGGCCGTCTTGGGGTCTTGTTGGGGCCCTCTTGGGGGCCTCTTGATTCTAAAGTGAGCTGTGACAAGGGCGAGATATTGCGAGCATTTGTCAAGCGGCCAGCCGCCAACATTTGACTGCGCCTCATTGTGAGGCATACTACTTGCCATCGAGACCGAAAACATCCTTCGCTTGAGATGGCCCGTGGCTCCCGCGACGACCTCCTACGACTGGGACTATCGCTACTACGATACAGCAGAGCAGGGGTTGTGCTTCGCTTAAGGCGTAGCTTCTGGACGGGCCCACCGGCCCCCGTCAAACTTGGTAGCGGAGCTGGCCGATGGTGGTCAGGTCTAGTTCTACTCTTCACTATCCACGGCACTATCTGGTGGACTACTGACATGGCGGAACGTCAGGGTGCAGTGGGTTTGCGCGGAGGAATCTACATAACTACGCACAGTCGCAATGACACTTGCAGTGTTACCTCTGCTCTCGCGGAGGCCTCTTATTCGAGTCCTACATCCCTGCGCTACTACACTCCTGAAGTCCACCCTATTCCAGATGAAAACTTCTTCGAAGATACCATGCGCGGCAACATGCGATACGATATTGTGCCGCCTCCCCCCCCCACGCATGCTTACAAAAAACACAACAAACTTGAGCCAACCGCAGCCGACCATGACCTACGAGGCCACTGGATTGGCGCTGCTATATTTGGTCGCGTATGGGTTGCTATCGGGCGCGCTGTGGGACACATGCGTGGCGGAGACGACACAGGGACAACCGGCCTTCACTGGGACCCGGCCGGTCAAGTACCTTCCCGCAAATTGGCTCGAGAGGTGCATGCCTGGATCAATTGGACCACAGGCAATATGGCGCCCCCCCAACAGGCTGCAGCAGCGCAGCGTGGTTTGGCAGGTCACGCACGGACCATAGCCATGAGAGTTCCCCCAGCAGTTATTAATTTTGGCGTCAACATAGGTGGCCGCCATACTGATGGTGCCACCTACATTATGTTCCTCGTTCGCACGAAGTTTGAGAACTTGGAGGAGAACCGCCAACTTGACTCGCGCACTACTCCCATCGACTTTCGAGTCCATGCGGGAGGACGGATCGACCAGACACTGGCGCGCTTCGAGATAGCCCGCTATGAGGCTGAAACGGCAGGCCTCAACATCCCCATCTTCCAAATCTTAACGGTTATTCTGTTCAGAGCCTGAGGCGTTGCGACGTCGGGTGCGCAACACTTTCTACAGCCACTTAACCACCAAATGCCAAGGAACCAGCAGCAAATTGATTCTCTGCTTGAGCGCATGAGGTCATGTGCTCACATCGCTGAGCGAACCCTTGGCAATATTGGAGGCATCTTCAGCCAAGGTCACCGCTCCGAAATCTTTCATGCTGAAGCCAACGCAGGGCAACCTGCCACGAACGTCACGAACGATGATCCACAAGCAACGGAAACCACCGCGCTATCAGACCGAAGTGGTGGTTCGGCCGCGGGGTCGCAAGACTCCTGGGCCAGGTATCAGGGCCCGCTGGCAACGGCGGCCCCTATACAAACCATTGCCCTTGTAGGCTCAACGGGGCAGCCCGCTGAGTCCGACTTCGATTCTGGAACCGACGCCGACGCGTCATCAGACGACGATGCGAATGCCCTAGACTAACTCCTGGCACCCTTTACTGGACCGCAATATGAAGAATTATTCCTGGGCGCAGGCAGGGGCCGTAGGCGCATTTCAGGAAAGGGCGCGGGGCGTCGGGGTAACCCGAAAGACGTTAACGGCAAAATAATGACATGTGACATCTGCCATAGCACACCACATTTTCGCCGTGAATGCCCCCGGGGCGATGGGGGAGGCAGAGGTCCGTCGGTGCATATGGCTCAAACCGAGTCGGAGATGCAGCATGTCGATTGGGAAAGGTCACTGGCCGACCCTGCTGACAATTCGGTTCGAGTCGTTAACTTCATGACTGCCGGACATCTGAGTGCCAGTATGTCCCTCGAGAATTACGCCGGCGAGCTCTTCGAGGAGATATGAATTGGCCATGGCGAGATCACTCTGGCAGACTGGTTAGGCATGCCCATCGCGGGGCAACCTGCGCGCATCGAATTTGTCGAGAAGTTCCACATGCCGGCCGAACCAGATCAAAATATGGCGAGACACCTGCGGATTCCGCAGCTACAATTCCATGGGCGGAAGAGGAAATACAAATGATGATGCGTCCCCAGGTAATTGGCAACCCGACAAACATGGAGGTATATGATGACGATCTTCCGCGGGGAAACCCGCGAGGCACTGGCGGCGTTTCTGAGCGCATTCAGCGCGAACTTGGACACGACGAAGACCATCGGCTTGCATTCGTGACTACGCGGCGGTCTTGGAGCCGCCAGGAGCGATCAGCAAGCCGTCGAGTCTGGAGACGCGCTACCCGCTCAGACGATGATGGCGACGAGTGGGAAGCTGAAGACCAGCGCGCGCTGCGCCATGGTCGCGCCCGCAGTTTTTCACGCGGGCATTCGCGCGCGCGCTCCAGCGGTGCTCGCTCCAGCGGCAACCGGCGCCCTCATCCCCCCGATGCGAGGGCCCCAAGAACTCCACCGAGGAGGGATCGCATACCTGGGGCCCCGCCGAGGAGGGGGCGCCCGAGGGGAAACCCGCCTCGGAGGGAGGATCGCCCAGCAGCGCATCCAGCAGACGAGGCGCAGCGCCTTGTCGCGCAAACCCCCCGAAATGCAATGCTGGCTGGGCCAAGGTTAGTCCGATCACAGAG